GGGGCTGCCGTAGAAGTTAAGCAGCTGAGCTTCAAATTGCTGTATTTTGAACGCTGTGTCCGTGCGCAAAGCACGTGCACACAGAACCGGTTGTTAAACCAGTTGCAGCCCACCACTGGATATTACTCAATGTCCCACCATACTTCCAGTATATCAATTTTTTATAAACACCAATAAAACCAATTATTAATAAAGTTTAATCAGTCCCGGGGTTATATCTCTAAATCCCCTGATTTTATAGTCCTTGAAAGCTATAAATTTCAATATATATTTTTACACAGTTAATAATAATAAATTTAAATCATAGTGTTCCACCTCTTAGCCTTGGTATAATTGTGGTTATAATAAACTCTATTATATATCCATATACGTGCTACTATTTTCCTAATTTATACTTTCTACTTTTTTCTACTAGTTTTTAATACAGTCACCATTTTGCAAGATATTTTATCTCTATCCATCATCTCTTAGCCTTTTTAGAATTTCATCATTTATTGACTTTTTGGTAACTTTTTAATATTTTTCTCTTGGGATCTATATTTCTTTCTAGCATTTTTGCACAAACTGAATGTTCCCTCAGTCTCCTTCTGCTGCATCCTTTGGATACCCATCCATAACCCTTTTATTGTTTTTGGAAAATGTTCCTTTTTTTCCTCTGTTCTATTGTAGACACTTAAGGAATTACCTATTTGATTCTTAGTACTTATTATCTCTTCAGTGTTTTTGTCTTCTTGTAACTTATTTTGATTTGTCTCCTCCACCGCTCCGAGTTTCTCATCTGTCTTCTGAATATTATGTTCATCTTTTCCCACCATTTCCCACACTCTCATTTTTATCTTTGAACAATCCCATCATCTCCGTATCGTCACATTTTTATACTTTTAAGCATCACTAACATTTCTTCATAGAACTTTATTGTCTCCTGTTGAGTCATTTTGTACCAGTTTAATATATTAAATTATTCAATATACCTCTAATATTCCAGTATCCCAATATCTTAAAACTCCAAAGAAGTCAATTATTAATAAAATTTAGTCAATCCCAGAATTATTCCTCCAAGTCCCCTAAATTTCTATTCCTTAAAATCTATAAATTGATAATTTATAATCTTTATAATTTCCAATTTATACCTTCCAAATATCCAAGTCGTCTACTGAAATAGAATTGTGGTCAAGTGGTCAAGTGTTATTTACTTTCACTCCTTTTGTGTATCTTAAACAATTATCACTTTCCCATGTTGCAGTAATCTTCCTCCAGTAGATGGCTCTCCAAATCCATTAAACAGCGTGCAAAAAACAACATCTGATTGTCAACCAATCGGAGGGGGGGGGGTTTAAAAGTAAAAATAAAAAATAAGAGTTTCTCCCAATAATCACTTTTCAAAGTATTGTTAAATCTTTTCCAGGCTTTCTATATTTTTAAGTTTCTATTAGATATTTCTTTCACATCTGGGTCTTCAATCTTTCTCTGTCTCAATGTATCCAATCACTGCTTTCTTAATGTTTGGATATTATTTTTTAAAATTCTTTTCCTTGGGTTAGGTCTCTAGAATAAAAGTTGGAAGTTGTCTCACCCAGTTTCAATGCTCTGTCCACGAACTGCTCCAGCACAAATCTTATTGTCCCGGTTGTCACAGCTTGTGACTTACCAAAAATAGCTGTCGTCCCTGCTGCCGTTCAGGAGAGCTTTCTTCGGACCTAACAAGGAAATCGTGGTTTCCTTGTGGTTGACAAAGCACTTCTCCTTCCTTCACCACCCCTCCAGGGCGGCTTTGACCCATAGGATCTCCCGGCAAGCAGATACCATCTGATATTCATGGAGCTCGACAGAGCCCGGCTATTTCCAGCTGTTCTTGCCACGACGCCAACCAGTTTCCCCTTTTTGTGACCTCCTGACAAGCAAAGTCAATGGGAAAGCCAGGTTCACTTAAGAACTGTGTTACCAAATAAAAACTGTAGTCATTCACTTAACAGCTGTTGTGTTCCTAACTTAACAAATGCAGTGATTCACTTGTGGGAAGATAGGTTGTAAAATGGGGCAAAACTCACTTAACAAATGTCTTGCTTAGCAACATAATTTTTGGGCTCAATTGTGCTTGTAAGTTGAGGACTACCTGTATCTAGTTTTCAGTATGAGGCCTGCCAAGCTTCAAACTTCAGTTGATTTTATTAAATTCCTTGAATAAATTTAACATACTTGAAGTCAAAAGCAAATTAAAATTGCCATTACAATTGCTGTAAAATGTTGACCTTTATTAAAATGAATGCTTGGCTATAAAATTGCACAATGGTTGTCTGGAATTGCATCATTCTGCATGCATCAAAGATGGAGGAAAAGGAAGGGTTTTTTTTAATTAGAAGTTAACTTGTCTACCACTTGGTAAAGCCTTAAAAATGATGCATCATATCTATAAGCTGTACATAGTGATTTTTCTTTTTCTTTTAAAGGGATGCTATATTGAAATGCTTCACTTCTTGCCTAAGTTAAAGAGAAGCAGAACTATTTCCAGTGCTTGGAAACCTACATCATTTTTCCTAGATTTACTCCAAGTGGTTCAGGTCCTGAAACAGTGACATCCTTCTTCACAATGGGGATTAAATTGTATTAGCAGAAGAACCTTTTTTTTAAAAAAGTACAGAACCAGGGCAATGATACCATCATCACAAGACCCCTCAATCCATGCTTATTCTAAAAATATTTTTCACTCAGTGGTCTTAAAATTGCTGGATGAAAGTCTGCTAACATGATTTAATCTCAAAATGATATGGTCTTTGAGTTTCAGGTAAAATGCATGTAAATAAATCTGCCTCATTTTTTTATATTTTTCTTTCCAATTTGTCTATTATGTTTTATTTTCCAAAATCCTATTAAATTGTAAAATGAAGAATTACACTATGTTATACCTACTGTGCCTCTTCAGAAATGATTAACGGTGGAGACAGCATGGAGAAAAAAATGAGACTATATAAGAAATGTTTTTTTCAAATTCAAAAACTTGGTGTTAGTCTTTATTTTAAAAGCGAACTTTTTATACTGTGATACTTAAAACACATTTAATTTGAGTAATATATTAAATCAATGATTAAAATAAATATTTAAAATTATACAGTGTAATGGTATTTATGGTTGAGATGTTCTGTAGATTATGTTAGTGCTGATAGAACTACCATTAAATTACTTCGTAGGACTCAAACATGGGTTAATGCTTACATTTTGCTTATTTTAAATAATGAGTGTCTATATACTCTCACAACTTATCCATAGCATGCCCACTCTCTTTTCTGTAACTTTAGAATTAATCTCCCATACACACACCTTCCAATACCATTAATGCTCTTGGGGGAGGAAATATTCAAGTAAAATCTATATGTTCAAGCCCTTATGTTTAATTATGTGGCTAATGCCTGGATGGAACTGAAGGTTTGCTTCAGCAATTTAGCAGTTTAAACAATGATTTAAACTACAAAATGAATAATTTGTTATCTAGTAATTTAATTCCCTCCCACCATGTATTATGAAGATCAATAGCGCTAAAACTCCCATTTCCTTGTTCTGCTTTCAGAGGGATTATACACACTAGTAGTGAGTGATAGACTAGTGTGGCAAAATATCTTATAAAAAAAGAGGCAGGCAGCTTTAAGAGCAAACTAACACTGGACTCCCAAGGATGTAGAAAACCTGCTGGAACTTATTCTTCCCAGATCCTTAAGCATTCCAGGTCAGGAGTTGAAAACAAACACAGTCTCTTTGGAGTGTCAACAGTTCAAGAACTAAAAAGTAAATTCTCAAAATAAAATATCAAACCAAGGGAGAAAGATGGGTCAGGCAGCAGCAGAGTGGGGCTTGTTACTCTCCTTCACACCAGCAGATTCAATGGGCAGCCCAGCCTCAGCACACAGGCAATTCCCTACTTGAAAAGACTCTGGCCCTTTCTTTCCTCACCTGAGGAATTTCAAGAGAAGAACCAGATCTATTTAGTGCCTGACAAATGAGCCAGGTCCTAACCAGGCAGCACAGACAGATGGGGGAGTCTGTTTATACTGACCTTGATAAGGGTAATTTCCAGCACATCCTCCCTTTGTCCCCCATGCTCTGGTACCTGCTCTCTTCCTCCGCTGCCTCCAACCTCCACACCTGTTCTTTTGGCAGAACAGCTTTGAAGCTTAGCCAATCCTGAGCCTGTAAACACTTAACAATGAAAAAAAATTAACCTTAGGCTGTTTCTTTAAAATAGACTTTAGTTTGGAAGATAAAAGTTGTAGCCTGGCAATATTTGCCTTCTAGGAATGGGTGATGGAGGGATACTTCCTTCATCCATCTAGCATTCTTGGTTTCTATGCTGATAAGGAAGAGGTTTTGATTTCTTACAGGAAACCTCATAGTTTGCATGGAATTTTTTTGTTGTCAGTGGTGACTAGGAAAACAATTAATGCAAAACCAGTTTAAGGAAATAACAGTGGCATATGTTGAACTTAAGATATATTTGTATAGCACATGGGGCCATTCTAAGGCTGTCCCACTGGAACCTCAGGATGTATAAATGTGGTCTGCTTACATAGCACACTTAATTAAGCAGCATTAAAGGACTGCATTGGCTAAATGTAGTTAACCTTAACTTTGGTTAGGCTTCAATGACTCAGATTGTGTGAATCCACTCTGTTTGGGAAACATGTCTCACTATAGCAGCGGTCTAGGCTACTAGCACGCAATCTAAAAGCAAATAGGGCTGTTATAGACTATTGTCAACCAGATTCGTGTTGCAATGAAATTGGTAAATATTTTTTGTACAGTAAGAAATTTGAATAGAAAGTTGTAGGGAGTCTAGCAACATCAAGTAATCGAAAAGTCCCACTTTTTTCAGAGCGGGAAGTGACTATTTAAGCCCACAGCAGAATCCACTTGGGCAGATTCCCAGTAGATCACTGCTTTGCCTTTTGAGGGGGGGGGAATTAAAAGGGGAGGGCTTCTAGATAGAGCCGCCTCGGCTCTTCTCTCTTCGCCAGATAGGGGGCGAATTTCAGTCCTGAGGAAGCGGGTTGGCTCTGCGGCCAGCCCTAATCAAAGCCCTCCAGCCTCGCCTGCCCGTCGCCGCTCGCTCGGCTCCTCCTCTAGAGTCCAACCCGGCGCGTGTCTCATTCACCGGCAGCATCAGAGCCTCGGCAGCACGCGGAACCGCCGAGCTGCTTCGCCGAAGGCTGGGAAGGAGCTCCGCTGGAGCGGGCGAGTCTTTGAAGAGATGCCCAGCTGAGCGCGGACACAGGAGAGGAGGAGGAGGAGGAGGAGAAAAGGTCTCCCCCGCCATGTCCTTGCCTCCTATCGCGCCGCCACCTTCGGCCGCCCCGCGACTGCAATCGAGGAAGCAACATCAGCCGTCGCCGCCAGTGGCGGCTCCTCGAAAGCCGATGGCGGTGCTGGCGACGGCCCCTCTCGCTCCAGGCAAGCCTCCTCGGAAAGGGCGCGGCGTGGCTTCCGAGCGACCCGCCGGCTTCTCCAGTTCCTGGCCCAGCGGCTCCCTGCAGAAGCAGCTGCCGCGCGGAAAAGCGGCCCAAGGCGGCAGGAACGCCCCGCCGACCGAAGGAGGGGCGGCGGCGGCTGCCTTAAGCGCTGCCTTGTCTCGCAGCCGGGGTCGGTCGGGGCCGCCGGCCGCTGGCACGCGCTCCTGCGAGAGCCTCTGCGCGGCGCCGGGAGGCCGCGGGGAAGCTTCGCTCCGCTTCTCGCTCAGCCTTCCCCCGGAGGCGATCCGGGTCTTGCAGCGGCGGAGCCTGGAGAAGCAGCGGCCTCGAGGGCGGGTGGCCCGCTTCGCTTCCCCCGACGCCTCCAGGTGTCCTCTGGCGGGAACCTCGTCGCCCGAGGGGGACTTGCGCGCCTTGCTGCAGGTGTCGCTGCTCAACGAGCGCCACCGCTACGACGACGTGGAGTACGAGGAAGACGAGGCGGCGGGCGACCCCGGAGCCTTCGCGGCCGACGAAGGGCTGGTGCGCAAATGCACCGAATGGCTCCGCGGTGTGGAAAGCGCCGCCGCCCGGGACCGAGCGGGCAAGATGGACACCCTGCCTCACTTGAGCACCCTTTGAGCGGCCGGGTTTGTGGTTCCTCAGCCTTTTACAAACGGTGTGGTCCTTCGGCCAGGCGCTCTTCCGAAAAAAAAGCACCGTTTGCGAATACAAATGCTTACCGTTCTGTTTTCCGGTTGCTTTCTAGTTTATTCCTGCGAGGAAAAAAAAATCTCACTTTCTACTTATGGGTCGTACTGTAGAGCACTGGGTTGGATTTCGGCCTCTCGTCTTTCCTGGGGAGGTGGGTGTGGTTTTCTTTTTTGTGCCTTTTCTTCGGAAACACCCAGGCGGAAAGCCCTGCCGTTCTAATAACCAGCGGTTGCTAAGGCAGCAAAGTGGCCTCACGTTGTACAACGGTAGCTTTATGTAAAATGCACTTTGGAGGGTTTGTTACTCCCCAGTCAACACCATCTCTTTGCTTGATAGCGCATCAGAAAGGTGCTTAACCATTGTCTCCCAAGATGTGTGTCAAATATGTCTGCCAAAAGAGCATCCTCGCTTCACCTCTGCTTCTGGAAATCTGCTTCACTTCTTAAATGGATTAGTGTTATCTATCCACATTGCATAGTGTTAAGGAAAAAGACACAGGAATGCAACTCATTTGTGTGTTATTCATTGCTAAGGTAGTATAAATGTTTGAACGTGAAAGATGAGAATGGTGAAGTAAGTTTAATGCCTCAAGTGTATATAGGTTTTACTAAAACCAGCCAAATATGAGTGTTCAATTTTTATCATGTCTGTTCAATTTGTTATAACACAGTGATTTATTTTGTTAACCTTTGTAAAGATTGAGGACTCTTGTGTAATTTGAATCTATTCCAAACCAGGTTCACCTTACTGGAAAAGGGGAAAACACCTGAATGCATGCTGAGAATCCAGAGGAGTTAAAGGAAGGCTGGGAAAAAAAACTTTTTCCGTGGTTTATTTCAACTTTCTGGATGTGCTCTGAGGATGACTCTGAAGTTTATGAATTAACTTTCATTCTCACAACAGAGACAAAAAGAAATATGCTGTCTCTATTCAAAGTGTTCCGAACAAAAATATTTTATTAGTACTTTGTAAATATAGAATAGCACAGTGATTTTGTAAACCTGCAACATTTCTATTTATTTGAATAAACAGCAAAATTTTGTGAGACATTGTATGTGCTTTTGTTTAATATCCTACATTTTCACAGAAAATTAACTAGTGGTTTCACTATTGGCAAGTCAGACGTTAAAATTGCATATATATTTTTATTTCAGCAAGAGGCTTATATTATCTTTAAATCAATATGTTCATTTCATTGGAGTCTGTACTTTCATGAGTTCAATTTATCCAGAAAGTAGGTGGTTGGAAATATTTTTTCAATAGGTTTACCATTTATTTGCCAAATACCAGAAAGAATAAAATGATTTTTTAATGAAAACTAGCAGCTTTATTTTAGTATACTTAATCTCTAGGTCATTCTTGGGGGGGGGGAAGGGACACTACTGTTCCTACTCATCTGCAAAGGCCAACTTGGGATATGCTAAAATAATGTTACCATCTGAATAGTGTTTCCCAACCTTGGTCACTTGAAGATGTGTGGACTTAAACTCCCACAATTCCCCAGTTGACCAGCCTGGAATAGAGTTAAATAGACATGGGTGAGAACTGAGGGATAAAATTTCAAATGGCAGGAGCCAGAATGATTAATAAAAAAATTAATTGCAGGAACCCAGACAGCACCTCTGCTTGATTTCTTTTGACAGGGAAATGTGAGATAAATTCTTCATTGTTTTGATTTGACATTTTTGACATTTGATTTGCATTAAAATGCTCCATGCGGAAGCATTATCAGCTTGAGAAGGCCATGAGTCAATAAAAATACCTAAATTCTTCCCCAGCCTCTAGTTGATAATGGAGTATAAAGGGAACTTCTTAAAGAATTTAAATATTTCTCAGCCAGATGGTGTTGAGATTTTTACACTGATCAACAGTCAAGTGAGCTAATCTGAAAGTTGCTTATTCTGTGGAAGGTGCACGCTGGGATTATGCACTCTGCAAGTTTATTACAAAAACATTTTGTATAGAGCTTGTCAATTGTACATGGTGGGATAATTGGATGATCATTTGCCAGATTATTCTTGTAGAGATTAGATGGAATGGCTCAAGTTATAAGGTAGCAGTGGGGAGTTTATTGATGCTTACAAATAGAAGAACTAATACAGAGGCCCACTAACTGGGATTTATTTTCAAAAATCGAGAGAATTAAGTCCCCTCCACAACTTTGCTGTTCTTTCAGTGGGGGAGAGGAAGTTAAACATTACTGAATTTGAAATCAGTGGCCCCTCAGGAGAATCAGAAATTGCAAAACCTAGATTTCTCTAATGACTGATGCATGAAATAGATTACAGTAGTGGGTATCCTCAAGTAAAATGAATTTTTAGGGCTGAAATTAGATCTACTTGCTACATAGGATTAAAGACACCAAAACAAGCTATCAGTTTATTGAGAACTGCTTGTTGGAATCAGTTCATTGTTTTCCTTACCTGCTCCAACCTACCCAGAAAAGACTGGTACTCCTTTTTCAATGAACAATTTCTCCAAAATTTGCATAGTTATAGTGTTTCATGGGTATATAGGCAGAAACTAACATGCCCCTGCCTGAGATACTCTTTGTCAAAATTAGATTGCGGAAACTGCACATGGTTAACTGTCCTGTTTAGCGACCATTCAAACTGAAAAAGTAGATTTACAACTGGTCCTCAAGCTTAGGACAGACACAGCATCCCCTGCGTCATGTGGGGCAGCATCCCCAAAGCACTTGGCAACTGGCACACATTTACAACAGTCAGTTTCCCATGGTTGACAGCCTCACTTAAAACCAGAGAAATTTATAGAATCTGCTGCTTTTGTCAAAATGAAAAAAGCATCACACCATTGCAAGACAAGTTCTGCACCTTTCATATGTATGTGACATTACAACACATAAATACGTTGCCGCTGGCATCACTTTAGTGTGGTATTGCTCTTATAAACAAAGTCTTAAAGTATTTTTGTAGTAGTATATATTCATATTGATGCAATTATTTATATACAGTATATATTCCTACTATAGATTTGGCTTTGAACACAGCATTTATGTTCAAAAGTACATATCATATTTACCCGAAAGAGTCAGGGTAGTGTCATCAGTGCAGCTCCCATTGGTGTGGGAGAAATTGATCAGTTGGTCTCCCTTTTCATTTGCTACCATCCAACTACATTTTCTTCTTGTGTTTCCAGTTTTGGCATTCCAGTCTCCAACCACAAGCAGCACATCTTATATGTTCTGTCAATTTTAAACTGAACATCATCAAGGAGAGAGCTCTGCACCTCAGTTCTCTCTCCAAATTTTGTTAGTTTAAAAGGTGGTCCTTTAGGTTTCCTTCTAAACAGTGTAAATTTACCCTCATACAGACAGATTGATCAGAGCAATTGTATGTGGGATTATTCTGAGGATTAGTTTTCTGATTGGGTAGTCCAGTTTCCAAATTCAGAAATGATTTCACTTCTAGGGTGGGACTCGACAAGTTCCTTTTTCAACCTTTGCTTCTGCACTGGTGGTTGAAACATAAATTTAAATGACCATCACATTAAAGGGTTGTCCATGAAGTCTAATTTATATTATTCAGGCATTGATTCCATTGTAGCCAAATACTGTTCCTGCTATACCCTTCCTAACTATAAAAGCAATGCTGTTTTTTAGTTTTTTCATGTTTTGAGTAATAAATAGTATGACTGTCTGACAGAAAGTGTCCTATCCCATCCATCTCAATTCGGTAATGCCTAAGATGTCAATTTGTAGTTGTTTCATTTCATCTTTTACAGGGTTGAGCTTTCCTGTGTTTATGGTTCTTATGTTCCATGTCCTTATTGCAATTCTATCTTTGCAGCTTTGGATTTTATTTTCTTATATGGCAACATCAGCAACTTGACATCCTGAAGATTTTAGCTCTGTCATAAGCACCATCAGCACTCTAAGAGATCATCAGCTCTTCCTTAGTAGCATGCAGGAGGAGCCCATCACTAAGCAATCATTCTATATTTTCTACCCATTGGGTTTTTTTTGTTTTGATAAAAAATACAGGAGTATAAAATACCATTGCTTTCTCCCACACAGTATGAATTTATGCCTTTACCATTATCATGGCCTCTGGCATCTTCCTATATCACTGCTGCCTAATATAGGTGCCCACTTGCCTTAGCAGGCAGCTGGAATGTCCTTTATATATTGAGTGATCGATTTGGGAAATATATACTGTTGGCACAAACTCCCAACACTATTTGTTTATTGCTCCCAGAAGCACTCCCTGCCACAATGAAGCAGCTCAGCAGGACTTTGGGGGGGGGGGGTGTCTCCATGGAAATATATATAGCTATTAGTAGAAAGTAAAATAAAAACCACTAGGTTACCACTAGGAGTGATTTACTCCTCTTTTATACCCATATGCATGGAGAAAACACAAGTAATGCTTGAAGAAAATTCTTAAAGCTGCTTGGATATTCCCTTGCAGCTACTACTCTTGCTATTTACTTAATTACTGCTAGTCTTATTAGAAATATTGAGATGCATTCTCCAATAAAACGAAGGAGATATTAAATCCCTACTGTTAAACTATCTCTCTGTTGGAGCATGCAGCTTAAATTTTGGGAATGTGCATTATTTAATATTTTGTAATTTATGGGATTGGGATGTGAGCATTTAGAATTAACCAACAAGAAGTTGCAGAAAACAGAATCTTTCTTCAATTCTATTGATGGTTAACCGGAGTTATGAATTTCAGATATCATTGAAATAAATAAAATAAATGCTCCATTCTTGTACATTGTTACAAAGACATTAACATTCTAAAATAATAAAATCAACACGAACCGGTGTGACGCCCCGAGGACGTGGTGAAAAACTTTTTTTCAATTCCCCCCAGGGTATCTTTTCTAAGAACACTTGTGCATTTGAATAGTCATTCTCGCCATTGTTTGTTTTCCCCGCACAGTAATTCCAGGCCGTCTTTTTATAGGGAAGACACAGAAAAGCAATCTCTCTCCGGCCCTTAAAAGTCAGAGGAAGGGTCGCCATCGGCTCCGCAGGGCCGCGGGTGGGGAGGACACAAGGGTGGCGCTCAAAGCTGACCCGCCCTTGCGGCTCCCAAAACGGAAGCGAGGGCGCTTTCCCCTGTGCACCGAGGGACGCCGTGCTCCGTTGCGAGGGGTAAGCCGCACCGCGTGGGGATAGGGGTGGGGTCCGTCTTTAGAAGGACTCGCTGGAAGCGCACAGGCTTTACAAGCGAGAGGATCACGGGCGCGGTTAACTTTTTTTTAAGGAAAGGCGGGGAAGAAAAGCCAAAGTCAACCGCCGATGAGGCAAGATTGTTGTGGATGCTTTACTTGGAGCATTGGGGGTCACACAACAGGGCTAAACCAAAATATGCATTTCGCCCACTTATAGTCAGAGAGGTTGCAAAACCTAGTGTTTTTTGAAATCAGTAGCTACTGTTTCTTCACAGGCGTGGGTATACTGAGTGATCCATGCTAGTGGTGGGATTCAGTTTTTTTTACTACCGGTTCTGTGGGCATGGCTTGGTGGGCGTGGTGTGGCTTGGTGGGCATGGCAGGGGAAGGATACTGCAAAATCCCCATTCTGACCCCAGTCCAGGGGAAAGATCCTGCAAGATCTCCATTCCCTCCACACTCCTGGGGAAGGATATTGCAAAATCTCCATTCCCTCCCCACTCTGGGGCCAGCCAGAGGTAGTATTTGCCGGTTCTCCAAACTACTCAAAATTTCCACTACCGGTTCTTCAGACTTGTCAGAACCTGCTGAATAGCACCCGTGATCCATGCCAAAAGTAGCTAACAAGGAAGCTCTTGGGCATGTTGATCCACATTTTTGTGACAAAGGTCTTGAGGGGGATGATGATATTTCATCCTTCATAGTCAACAACCTGTCCAGCCTGGTGTCATAGTATGCAGGGAGGTGAATAATAGAAACAATCCCACAAGGTACACCTGAGCTCATCAATACTCTCGAGGGCTGAGTTGAGACAGCCAAGATCAGAAGGACGTTGACTTTCAGAAGGAAACTGGACTTTCTGTAAAGCGCTTTCTTCATTTTGCATGGCCCCTTCTAGGTTCTGGCAGTGTGTTTTGAGAACACCATTCTTCAAGGATCATGAAGTCCTGGAAGATAGCATCTGAGACTTCATGGATTATAAACCATTCTCTTTGGGCTAGACATTGGGTTTGCTTAGGGTTATATAAGATTTTTAAAGCACCAGGTGGTTGGTATGGCCGACTGAAAATTGTTGAACCCTTTTAATTTGAATTTAGGGATTCACTGAACTGAGTTCCATCAGTGGGAGGTGGACTGAAAAATGCTCTCCTGGCCCCATTGGGGATTGAGACATGAACACTGCTTTGGTCAACAGCAACCTGTTTGTAAAAGTTCACAGAGCTTTAGCCTTGCAGATATTGGAGCTCAGCATAAATAATAATAATTTTATGTAAATTGAAAGAAATGTATGCTCCTGGTGTTAAGGGATAGATTCAAGATATGTGGTATCCATTTTTGAACTCTCTTTATAATCTAAAAATGGGAGAATGGAGAATTAGATTTCTATAAGGCTAAATTTAATATTAAATTGGAAGATTGGATTAATCTTATATTGATTTTACAGAGTTCTTATTTTTTCTTTATTAGTTTCTTGTTTTACTTTCACCTTACTTTGATCACTATTAATATATTTCATTCTTTTATTGGATAGTCAGTATATTTTTTGTTGTCTTTCACCATTTTTTAAAAAAACATCAGTGGTTCACTATGACCCAAGAGATCCCTTTGGAGTTCAGAAATACCTTAAGAAATCAAGGTAACATTCTATGAATGTTACATTGTTTTGTGCCTATTCATCATGGTCATTAATCTTCTTGAACTGTCTACTCTCTCATTTCAAACTTGACCTTTATTGAATTCCGCGAAACAGAAGCCTCATTGAAAACTCAAAACCTTGAAAGAATTCAAGGACATGTTGCTCTGCACTATTATTAAATAAATTATGTTTTATGGTTTATATGGTTTAGCATGTTGTGCAATTGCAGATAGCGGTGGCATATTCAATAAGCTATAGCTACCATGTCTTAGTAATGTGTTAGATATTATTGAAGTGCCCTTGCTAGCACGAGCCGTGCTGAACCTGGACAGGGTTGCTGGTTCTGCTTGCCTAGATGTCCTACCACCCATTTCGTCTGCTTGAGCATAGAGTAGAACTTGAGTTGAGCGTCTTCCTATGGCATAATGGCATGCTTTTGTCCAGTGTACTAAGGACTCAGAAGCTCCCTACTCTGCTCACTTGTGCTGCATCCATGTTTGGAGAAGCTACATCATAAGAGCCTTGCCCTGTGAGCAGTGATGAAGACCTATATGTTGGGTGGTAGTCCCATCTATTGAGCAGCTCCTGGAAAAATGTCAAACTCAACCAGAGGAGCTATGCCAAGCCCTATTTACATTTTCTTTTTCATTTTTCTTTTCCTTGCACTGAATATCTTTAAAATTTGGAAATAAGGGTGGGCGAGTGAACATAAATAACTGAGCACCAAGTACTGAAAATACATTTCATTTCTTTCAATCAAAGAAATCAAATGCCCTTTATCTATCCTGCTCTGAGATGTAGGCTGGGTTTATACATCACACTAAGTCATCTGCTTTGCCTTAACAATACCTTGTTGCATAAGCCACTAAGCTCAGACACAAGTAAATTGCATTTTGGCTTATTCCTGATTTCATTCCTACGAAACAATTAATTAAGTTGGACTTATTTTTGAAAGATAGCTGTTTAATGAGAGCAATAACTAATGTATTTACACAGAACAGAAAATACTTGCTCAGTGATCTTCTAAAAATGAATTCAATTAATTTTTCTATATTGTATAAATGTTTTGTGTTGTAAATCAACAGATAGTTTGAAGGTGCAGAATGTAGAGCTGTTTGAGAAAAGAGAAGAAGGAGGTGACAAAATCGAGTGGTGAAACATAATTTAGAAATATCACAGCTTTAAGGTTTTCAGCAAGTGTTTGTAATTGTATGATGTTAAAGCCTAAACAAAAAAGCTGGTACAGAGACAGAGGACAAGTTTTTCCTACAAACAAAGGTATAATTTGTTTTGCTCTGTTTAACTTGTCATAGCGTGCTGCTACTATATTATTTCTGCACTGCAAAAGTTCATTAGAGGTTTTTGCATCTCTTTCCTGCTATTCAGCGGTCATCAGATGAGATTATGTGGTTTCATTTAGGATTATGCCTTAATGCAGTATATAATTCTAAACAATTGTGGTTTGTTCATGGAACCTGGACAAACTATGGCCTAATAAAATACCTGAAGCAAACTAAATGAACTAAGTTCAGAAAAATAGACAATTGTCCATTGTGTAATCATATTTCAGTTGGTCCTGGGTTTTTTAAAACTCTTCTTTGATGGAAGAATCCTACAACAAATCCTACAGCCTGAAACAAATTTAATATTTATTATATGGAAAACATAATTACATAAGACCCCTTGCATCCTGGATATAAATTGTTTCAAGTCCTACCCTCAAAACCACGCAATAGAGCACTGCACACCAGAACAACTAGACACAAGAACAGTTTTTTCCCGAATGCCATCACTCTGCTAAACAAATAATTCCCTCAACACTGTCAAACTATTCACTAAGTCTGTATTACTATTACTGTTAAACTTCTCATCGTTCCTAACACCCATCTCCTCCCACTTATGACTGTATGACTGCAACTTATTGCTATATCCTTACGATTTATATTGATTGTTTGATTTTATTTTATTTGTACCCTATGACTATCATTAAGTGTTGTACCTTATGATTCTTGACGAATGTATCTTCTCTTTTTATGTACACTGAGAGCACATGCACCAAAGACAAATTCCTTGTGTGTCCAATCACACTTGCCCAATAAAGAATTCTATTCTACTCTAAAGAGGATTGATATGGAATATCTAATGAATTATAATTATTCAATAAAATCTAGCAATAAAGCCTTGCTTTGTTTCATCTAAGGTGGTGCTTGTGCAGATCTCAGAAAGTTGAGTTGCTCAGGTAATACGTTGCTTAGGTGAACAATGTGTTGGTCAGGAACAAAGCGTTTAGACAAATGCATAATGTTGATTTAAGAGGTCAGCAGTGTTGTAATCTAATTTATGTAGTAATATTGTGTTTTCCATGTTTACATTTCTTTGCAGGTTCTTCTCGTAACAGCTCTCAAGAGAAACGTCAGTGTAGTATGGCAGGCTCCTCTCAGCTTTATAAGAAAAGTACATTTCCTCCACTTCTGGACTCTTACTTACCTCTTAATTGCCAGAATCAGGTAATACAGGTTTTGCAGTGTGACCATTGAACAATTGTATTTCAACTTTTGAGTTCTTTTTCTTTTTATTTATAATAACATTCCATAGCATGTGTAGTAGTATTTTTTCCATTGTGAATTTGCATGGCGAACTTCATTACATAATCTTCCTGTAAATGTTAAAGTGAATTCGCTGATCTCACTAGAATCAGTGACCCTGATGGAAGGAGAAATACTGTGAAAAATAACGATCTAAATATTTTAGGAGAGAGTAGTGCTTGGTGGGCTTGGAAACTAAGCTGCTAGTTCTTTCATCCATGTACTGCTTATTAGATACACAGGCCTTGATTTATGACAATAATCGGGACTGGAGCTTCTGTCACCAAGTGATGTGCTTGTTCTGTGAATTGTGCCTGATCTTACAATCTCTATTGCTAACGTTGTTAAGCAAATCACCATGGTCATTAAGCAAATCACACTGTTGTTAACAAATTAGGTTTCCCCCATTGATTTTGCTTGTTGGAGGACCCCCAGGAAGGTTGCAAATGGTGAACAGGTGACCCCCGGATGATGCAACTATTGTAAATACTTGCTAGTCACCAAGCACCCAGATTTTCATCAAATGACCATGGGGATGCTGTGACAGTCATAGCTGAGAGGAGCTATTGTAAATAACCTTTTTCCATGCGTCATAACTTGAAATGGTGGGTAAACAAATGGTTATACATCGAGGACTACCTGTAGTCACCAAGCGTCAAATTGCTCTTAACTGAAAGCCTTCTTCACCAGGTCAGAGTTCACATTATGGACTCAAGCAGGAATTTAAAATTAAATTAAATGATTAAATTAAATTAAAGAGACTGGACAGCCATTAAGAGAACCGGATTCCTGTACTGAGCAGAAGGTAGGACAAGATAACCTAAAAGTTCCTTTCCAAGATTATAATTTTATCTCTTAAGGTTACTGTGATGTGCTGATGTTCACCATCAAGTACCCAATGTGGTTTTTCCACCACCACAATCCTCATGGTTAACATATATTCCCTCCTCTCCTCTTGATGTCTTGAAGCAGCTTCACTTTCTAGTCAATTTAGGTAGAGGTGAAATCCAAATTTTTTTACTACCGGTTCTGTGGGCGTGGCTTGGTGGGTGTGGTGTGGCTTGGTGGGCATGGCTGGGAAAGGATACTGCAAAATATCCATTCCTACCCCACTCCAGGGGAAGGATACTGCAAAATCCCCATTCCCTCCCCACTCTTGGGGGAAGGATATTGCAAAATCTCCATTCCCGCCCCATTCTGGGGCCAGCCAGAGGTGGTATTTGCCAGTTCTCCAAACTGCTCAAAATTTCCGCTACCGGTTCTCCAGAACCTGTCAGAACCTGCTGGATTTCACCCCTGAATTTAGGGTATTCCAACAACTATAAGTTCCGGGACTTTGTGTCTCTTGTTGTCTAGTTCTGGCTCGGCTTTAATGTAGGCAAAATTGCAGAAAGCAAGATTTTTCCTTTTATAATTGTTAAATTCTGCAGAGTTTGTGGGCAGTCTGTTTCCCCATTAACAGAATTTTTTTTTCTTCACTAGCCCTCCTGGCCATTGGGAATCATTGCAGGTCCTTGAAGGGGAAAAGCAGCTTGATGATTTTGCAGATCCCTCTCTTCAGCCATCGCTCTAGTTTTAATAATTAATTAATGCATATGACTAGGTAAATACAAAGGAACCTTTAAAAAGCAGCCAGGATTGATCAGGGCAATTTCTAACTCCTAAGAGAAGTTAGAATATCTTTCACCCCTTTAATAGCAGCCATATGGGCAAAGAGAGCTGAGGTAAAAATAATCAGAATTCTTCTGTATACCCCCCCCCCCACTTGCTGCTTGTCTGCAAAGTGCAAGCCTGTGTTTTTGTTTTCTTTTTAATCGCTTTGTGGATGATGTGGAGAAAGAAAGGCTAGGAATTTATTTTCTTCCTCTTTTGTGTGGGTAATGGGAAAGGGTATTTTGCTAGAGTAGGCTCATCTCCCTCTCCCATCCCCATACACATTATCTTCAGACCCTACTCATGGGGCCTGCCTGTTGGTATTGTTTAGAAAACTCACATCCCTCTCATGCCTTCCAGCCACCACAACAACATGCACCCATGGTTACAGCTACTGGGAAAAGTGCCTGGTTGTAAAATTGTCAGCATGCTATCTTTGGACCCTCACACTAGCAATCGGTATTTAAATGCAACAGGGGTACGCAGTTTTACAGTTACAATGGCTTCTTTACAGCTGGTGTTCAGACAACCTCTTGTTGGGTTTTGTTTTTTGTTTTTTTTGCAAATAGCCAGAAAAATGTATACCATGTTTTGAAAATGCAGGGAGAAGTAGCAATTTATTTGATTTCAGGCTGGAAAATGAAAACTTGCCGGCTTGTTCTAAAAAAATCTTGCTTAGGGACGGGCAGACCCCAAATCTAATTTCCTTTTCTTGGGACAACCCTTCCTACTGCTTTAGCCACATATCTTTGAAGCTACACCAACAAGAAACTTGTTCTATGTCTCACTGAATTTTATGCAATAAACAGTTGAAGGCATGGTAGCTCTGCATGGTAGCTCAACCAGGTGTCTAAGCTCTTCATTGATTGTAAGGTTACATTAACAGACTCTTTCAGAAATACTGAAAGTATTTCTCCCCCCTCCTTTTCCTTTTATTTTCCAGAAAACTAGGGAGCGTGCTTCCCATGCTCCTGTTCCTTCTGTGGGCCGAGATATATCTTTTACATGTCACCTGTCCAATCTATAGTTCTGCATCCTGTCTGCTGAGCTTCCCACCTGCCATTACAGGTGGCTTTATTAATAATATAATAACATTGGGCCCTCAGTAAAATTCTGTAGTTTAACTGGATCAGCTGTTGTGTAAAAGGCTCAGTTGAAAGCACTTCTGAAGTATGATGCATTATGCACTGAAGCATGATGCATTAAGTATGCACTAAAATTAAATAAGCAAAGTAAACATTATTCTAAGTATTACGAGTAACCTGGGAAATCATAGGATGGGGAAAGGGAACTTCTGATACTCAGGTTGTGTAATACAAAATTCATGTAGAGAAATCTGGTGATGTAACAAAATGTTAGTATTTATACTCTAGACCAGGCGTATCAACCCATGGCCTGCAGGCTGCCTGTGGCCCTGGTCAGCTATTAATGTGGCCCCACAAGATCCTAAACTTTTAACATTATTATGTGATTTATATACATTAAAAATATTATATATTTTATATGCTGCCCAAAACAATTCCTCTTCACTCAGTGTAGCACAGGAAAGCCAAAAGATTGGGCACCCATGCTCTAGAGCAGGGATCCCCAACAGTGGTGGGTTTTAAATTTTTTTACTACCGGTTCTGTAGGCATGGCATGTAAAATCTCCATTCCCACCCCACTCCAGGGGAAAGATACTGAAAATCTCCATTCCTTCCCCAATCCAGGGGAAGGTTACTGCAAAATCCCCATTTCCTCCTGATCAGCTGGGACTTGGGAGGCAGAGAATAGATGGGGGCGGGGCCAGTCAGAATTTTTACTACCGGTTCTTTGAACTACTCAAAACTTCCGTTACCAGTTCTCTGGAACTGGTCAGAACCTGCTGAAACCCACCTCTGGTCCCCAACCTGTGGGCTGCAATAGCATGAGAGTAGAAGCTAATGGTATCAATCAATCTTGAAGTGAATGATATTAATATTATCTTTCCTGACTTCTCAGAACCATTAAAGTAACCTTTGGAAAGTTTTGATGTGCATGGAGACAGGAAAGTGATCCTTGGTGAGCACTTTGAAGTAATTAATGAATGTCTTTTAGAGGCAGATCATCTTGGAAGCAAAAAAAGATTTGCTGGAAGTACACATTGTATGAAAATTAAAATACCAAGATGTCAGCGTATGTCATATATAATATTCCCATAGTAACAAGGTGATAAATATAGCCATTCATTGCAAAGTGTGGAGGAAGGATGGATTCAGATCCTGTTTATGAATAATAAAGATATAGCAGATGTATGAGTGCAGTAGCAATAACTATGATCTGGCATCTAACTACATTAAATTATTAGACATGAATTCTTCTATACCTCTTTGCTATATTACAGATATTAATATAACAGCTTGCCATTCCACATAGGATCACGTTTGATTTGTACAATAGTAAAATTTGTAAAGTCTTTGCAAATAATTGCATTTTTGAAAAAAATATATCAATTTTATTACTTTGCTCATGAATTATGAACATTGTGTGTTGAGATTTGAAGAATCCATGAGAGATTCTTCAAAGATTCAGCTGTAGGGTGGCCCTTTGAAGCCCCGCGGCAAGAGTTTAAACAGTTTTTTTCCTTCTAGCTGATCAGCTGGGACTCAGGAGACAGCGAATAGATTGGGGGAGGGGCCAAATAAAAGATAAGAATAACGCAGGGGGGGCGGGAGGGCCCAGCTCCCAACAAAGCGAACCAGTTCAGTGACGTCATATGATCACCGCTACCGGCTCGGCTGAACCGGGAGGAACCCACCACTGTGCTCAGCCCATTCAGTGCCCACAACTATCAGAAATGCTAAGAGTTATTTTCTGGTTCATCAAAAAAAAAAAATTAAGTGTAAACCTGCCATTCCAAAAGCAATGGTGTAACTCTGAAAATACACTGTGTAGAATTTGGGCAAAAATGCCAAAGTTATATTACGCTGCTCAGTAGAAAAATAGCTAAGAAGGAATGTGATATGAAAATCACTTAGCAAGACATAACCATTTCTCCTGTCCCTTATTGCAAAAAACTCCACGATTATTCAGAAGAGTATGTTCTCCAAAGATGGTGCAGTACTGTATGATCAAATGTATTGGGATGGGGGGATGATAACAGCCAGAAAATAAACAGCAGATTCTTAAAATTTTTCGACAATATAGGTAGACCTTGACTTCCGACCAGTCACTTAGCAACCTTTCAAATTTACAAGAGATCTCCCCAAAGCCACATACAATCTGGTTTCAAAGTTTTGACAACAGTCCCCCAATAAGGAGCCTTGGTGGTGCAGCGGACTAAAGTGCTGTTAAGTAGCACTTAGCTGCCAGCTGCCTGCAATTACTGCAAGTTCAAATCTCACCAGGCTCAAGATTGACTCAGCCTTCCATCCTTCCGAGGTAGGTAAAATGAGGACCCGGATTGTGGGGGCAATAAGCTGACTTTGTATAAAAAAGAACACCGCTTAGGGTGGGCCAAAAGCCCTACTAAGCAGGTATATACGAAAAGTATGAAGGCTATTGCTTAACACATTGTAAGCTGCCCTGAGTTTCCGGAGAAGGGTGGCATATAAATCAAACCAATAAATAAATAAAATAAATAAATAAAATCAGGTGATTGCATTTGGGGAAACCGGCCTACCTATGCCACCATTTGCAGTGTCCTGCAGACTCATGATCATGATTTATTTACTTCTGGTTTCCTGCAAAGTTCACTTAACAACTGCCTCAACAAAGGTTGTAAACAGCTTAATGACTGCCATGACTTGTGAACATCATTCAATGCTCCATTAAAGTTGTAAGTTGAGCATGATCTGTACATTTATCACAGACAACACAACTAAACATCTAAGGACACACACTCAGCGAATAGTTTGAGATATTGCAGTTTTATTCTCCCTCTGGAAAAATCTTGCTCCTGGCAGTATACAGTTCTACATCTAAATATTATTTAAGCTGCAGCAACACTATTTGTCGTTTTGATGTCGTTTTGTTTTAAGAATATTCACCCATCTGGTTTGGATTTACGAGCCTGTTCCCTTACCTAATAAGGATTAGATACAGTGAATTATAGACAGTTTATAATTCCAGTGTATATTTGTTGTAGTGAAGTAAGTGAATGTCTTAGTTGCCTAAAGATTTCTACGCACACACACATATCTTTGTTGCTTTTGTTGCGTCTGAGGCTGCTTGGTATTTTGGTGGCTTTTTAAACTCTGAGGCTTTCCACAAGTAGATTTTTCTGGAATTGCCAGGATTACGCATGTTTGCAGTGTGTCCTAGGTAGCAAAGAATTGCACACAATGTGCAAGATGTTTTTGCCAGCTTGACCAATGTTCTTTTTAAGTAGGTTGGTTCTCATCCAAAAAGCAGTACTTTATAAACACAGGAAAATTAACACATTTGGAAGAACATAACACAATAATTTGTCTTGATAGCATTTTCTTTTTGCTTGCCGTAAATACTTACATTTGGCTATACGTTATTGCATAATCTTTGCACATACTGAGAAGACATTTACTTTGATGTGGTTTAATTTCTAGTTTAGCAAACTGTTTTGCTTGTCAGATTAAAAAAGTTTCATAATTTAAAGGAATTGCCCCAGAATTAATCATTCCCTTTAAAATATATTTTATTTGAACCCAATGTCTTAAAAATGGTATTGGTGTCATTAGAGATACAAAATTCACCTGGCTCCCTGCTGACTCATTTATATTCCAGATATTTTACGTGTTTTGTTATTTTCCATTCAACAGATTTTGGGAGGAAAAAATGAAGTCCTTTGCAATCACTACTTCTTAGTGTCACAAGCCAAGTTAGGCTACCAGCATTACAATTTGTATAGGCACTATTTAATTATGCCACTAGCCTTCCTGCTTATTTCAAATACAGAATAATAGAGTTGGAAGGGATCTTGAAGGTCTTCTAGTCCAACCTCCTGCTGAGTTTGGTGACTGTCCAAACTCTTCTTAAAAACTTCCAGCACCTACAGCGTCTGAAGGCAAGCTGTTCCACATGTTAATTGTTCTCACTGTTAGGAAATTTCTCCTTAGTTCTAGGTTGCTTCTCTCCTTGATTAGTTTCCATCCATTTTGTTTCATCTTGCCTTCTGGTGTTTTGGAGAATAGGTTGGCCTTCTCTTCTTTGTGGCAGCTCCTCAAATGTTGGAACACTGCTATCATGTCACCCCTAGTCCTTCTTTTCACTGGACTAGATATATCCAATTCCTGCAACCATTCTTCATATGTTTTAGTCTCTAGGCCCCTAATCATCTTCGTTGCTCTTCTGTGCACTCTTTCCAAAGTATGAACATCTTTTTCGTAATGTGGTGATCAAAATTGCATGCAGTATTTTGATGTGGTCTTACTAAGGTTTTATAAAGCTGTACTAAAGCTATAAAGCTGTACTTCTCATCTTGACTCTATCCCTCCTTAGTGTGATCAAATGCAACTGGCAGCCACATATAGATTAAAAGGATCTTTAAAACAGCAATTAATGACACCCTACTGTTCTTATGGGATTTTATTTTGTTTTGCTCAGAACAGAGCAAATTGGCAAAAAATAGAAAAAAGCAAAAAGGAGCATATAAGGAACAACAGCCGCATTTTAAGTGAGGAAGAAAAGGATGAACTCATCAAACAAGCACTGCTGGAAAAGGTAATGTGCTTGGATAATGCAAATGATGTTTTTTCTCCACTAAGTATATTTTGGTATTTTAAATATGATTGATTGATAAATAAATTCATAAATAAATATTTCCTTGAGTGGCTGATTCCACAAATAACTTTGCTTTGTTATCTCAGTCTTTACCTTAGATCAATTTTCAAACTTCGCTTGCTTGGCACATGTTTTAGAGTAGCTTTTTTATATATTGATTGGAGATGATGGAAATTGGGATCCAGAATATCTGGAAGGCATCAGGTTGTCAAAATAAAGTGCTTCATATTTTAAAAATGCCTGCTGTATATTGCTGAGAAAATGCTTGAATGTCCTATCCAAACTCACAAGGCGACTCAACCAGCTGTTTCTTTAAAAAAAAAAACATTTTTCCTGGATGACTTATAAAATCCATCACATTTCATTTTGTTCCAACATCCCCTCATTTATGGGAGCTGCTTGCTGATAAGCTGATATTACATGGCTTGGAAAATAACAATAGCAATAGAACTTAGACTTATATACTGCTTCACAGTGCTTTACAGACCTCTCTAAGTGGTTTACAGAGTCAGCATATTGCCCCCAACAATCTGGGTCCTCATTTTATCGACCTTGGAAGGACAGAAGGCTGAGTCAACCTTGAGCTGGTGAGAATTGAATTGCAGAACTGCTGGCAGTCAGCAGTCAGCAGAATTAGTCTGCAATACTGCATTCTAACCACTGCGCCAGCACTGCTCTTATCTAAAATATCTAAAGAACTCTGAACCAGTGGTGGGTTGCTACCGGTTCACCCCGGATTAGGCAAACCGGTAACGGCAGCAGCAGGAGGCTCCGCCCACCCACCCAGACGCTTCTGCACATGCGCACATGCGCCCACAAGTGAACCGGTAGCAATGGGTTTTGAAACCCGCCCCTGCTCTGAACGTGGTTTCAATAAATGCTATTACACATTAGCCATGCATTTTACCTGTTTTTGGCCAACAATCACTGTGCTACTTGAAGTGTAACTGATGTAATGCAGGGTTGTCAAACTTGCGACCCCTGCTTTACACATTTTGCTTACATACTGTATGTATAAGGATTAGAGTTACATACTCAAGATGGAACTAAAGAATCGAGATTTTAAATATTTGATTGTGAAATACTGTACAAATACCATAGTTTTTTCTCCAATCTTTTTGTATTAGAGTTATTTCATATCCCTGGAAAATACTACTGATAGTACTATTAAAAAGCAAGGGCTTCATTTCAGAAATAAAGAGAAAATGCTTATAATGTTGCTGGGGAAAGTGTATTATGAAGAGTTTATGAAGTCAGTGATAGTGAGATTTAATTCCAAGATTTTACATTTTTATACACTGAGTTGGGGATTGTTTTTTTTTTATTCTCTCTATTGAAATGGCTCTCAATAGCACCATCTGTTGGTGGATCTTCATAATATTCAGTGTTTATTACTTCCAGTACAAAAAGAGTGTCTTTTCATTCTGCAATTGTTAAGCATAATGCACATGAATTCACTGTGTAATAAACAAGTTAATTTACTAGCACAATGATAGATAATGCATCAGTAATATGGAATTAGAAATCAATGTATGCTATTATGTGTTGAAAGTATGATATTAATCCTACTGAATTAATAATATCTTTTGAAAAGTGAATGTTGCCTTATAAACCTAATGGATATAGGTACTTGTAATAGCAAGTTTTACAAGGAAATATTGTGTCTGTTGAAATATTGGTATAATAATACTGTTTAAATATATATGTTGTGATTTTGCAATGTATTTAGCATGCAGCTTGACTATGAGTTCAAGTTAGCTGGGCTAAGTTGAATTATTGCTGTAGCATAAAGTGAGCATGATAGAAATTATATTGCTGTGAAATTTACACATTTGCACATTAGGGCTAGTCAAAATGTAATTAAATGATACAACACAAGGTGGCACTGCTGAATTGCACTGTGCAGCCAAGCACTCGTTAAGTGTAACAGAATAAGAATTAGGGTTGTCTATATCTCTTGGAATGTCATGGAGATTCTCAATCATTGGGCTAATGGTTTTCCAAAGCTAACTGGACTTTCTTGGGAGGTTTTTTTCTTTGAAAACAAACACCACCACCAAAACCCAAAAGAAAATCCAGTTGCCTTTTGGAAAAATTATCAGTGAGATCCTTCTTGGAAGAAATTTGTGTAAACCCACCACCATGTACGATTGTGGTTTTTAGGAAAGGCTGAAAAAAGATGTCAGGGTGATAAGGTTTGTGTTGACATTTGATGAGTAGATTCTTTTCTTTTATACTCAGGCTAAAGCCTGAAAAGTATTGAGTTGTTTTAAAGAATGTGCTGTGATTATGGGAGGTTCAATACACATTTTCCAAATCATTTTCCAAGTGTACAGAGACTTAGTAAGAATATATTTGCAATAAGTTACATTTTGCTGAGAAAAATGGTATCTCTGGAATGATGTCATTAACATCATTCCAGAGATAACATCATTATAAGAATGTCCTTATAAAAATGAAATGTTCTTAGAAAAAAGATTATATTCAAAAAACAACTTTATAGAACCTATTTTGGAAATTCAGAAAACAGTTTCTGAATTTGCTAAAGAAATTTTTAGGTAATCTCTTAAGAAAACTTTATGGTATTGGTATAAATTGAACATTCACAGTGTTTGTTTTTCCTGCAAGAATTTCCAATTATAATGCCTCTTATCCTTTTAATCAAGCATCATCTTGAAACCTACAAGAATCTTTATAAGATAAGAAATATCTTATATGAACGCTACAAGACTTTATTGAATGAGAAAGTGTCAAAGCAACGAATTCAGATCAAGGCATTTGATCTGAAACAACAACAACTTAAACACAAAGAACAAAAGGTATGTGTTCGGGGAGGGGGGGAATGGCCAAATCAAGAAGGAAACTAGAAAATTCATAATTTAATCATGTATATGTTTAGAGTTTACATTAAAATTTATATTTTATGTGTGAGTACAATATCTACAATTTTGCAAACTAGAATAATGTGTATGATACATAGCCGTAATAATTTGCTGAACAGTTAGCTGATTTCCAACAGAAAATTAATTTTTTGAGAAACATGGTGTTGTCAATTCCATGCATGGAAACATTCATCTCAAAGATTTTCTGAAACTTCAAGTTATGTGCAAAGATTGACTTCTAAGTAGACAATAGGATGTGTAAAGTCTAAGAACAGGAATCAAACATTTCTGGAGTTCAGAAATTCCATTGATATATACAGTAGATGTGTTTGGACATATGTTAAATTGGCTTTTAGGATTCCAGTGGTGCAGGAAAAATACTTTATGACTTAGGTTATATTTCTGGATATATTAGATAGGTATTATAGTCTATGTATATATTGCTGTGGTACCCTCTAATTCACAGATATATTGCATTATCTGTGTTGATGTTGTTACAATCTTCTGATGTCCTTGAATGCCCTAGGGGATCCAGATAGCCACCATTTCTCTCCTAATTGTAGTTTAATTTATTTATTATCTAAGTTGTTCTTCACCAATTTCCCTGTGCAGTATAATATTTCATGTCCGAATTAACATTGTAGTCTTTCTTGAAATAAATAACTATTTTAATAGTCTTGAATGTGCTTAAAATACCTGTAAAGTATATGAGGTTTAGCAAACAATTGTTTCTTTAATTGCTGGTTTTAGTTTGAAACAGTGTTTTCATATATGCTTTTATCATTTTAATTGGCATTTGCATTGCTTTATTGAAAATACATTGAATTTTTAATGAGCAGTTTCAAACAGCTACTTTAAATAAATTCTATGGGAGAACAAGGCTATGATTGCATAAGAACATCTTATAGCTCTGGTTTGAGTCCTTCATGAACCTGCAATAATACATTGCTCTTAATTCAGAATTTCTACAGATTTTTAGTTCTAATAGGTTTGCTATCTTTGCTTTTCCCACTGATTCCTTTGTGTTTTGGGAATCAAAATTTGATATAAAATCTTTGGAACGGTTTAGTATTATAATAATAGGCCCCAAACAATGAATAAAACATACATTTAAAATGTATAAAGTTCAAACATAAATATATATCACAGTTCATCTCAATTTAGGTTCCCAAAAATTTAATATCAGTCTGAAAAAGGGGTAGTATATGCATTTAGTGCATAGGGGTTTTTTTAATGTCTGAATAATTATCATTTCCTCAACATGTTTAAATTAATTTTAAAATAATTAAATTATTTTAAAAGAAATTCAAACTCAGGGAAAGAAAAAAATACACATATGAAAACTATTTTTAAAATATTTTGAATTTGAATATTCATATTTTGTATAGCAGAAGATAAATCTAAATAATCACGCGATTAAAGTTTAAGAGAATATATTTTAAGCAATGGTTGTGAATCTGCACTCAACAATGTGTATGTGGATCTGAAATGAATTTTATAGAACTTGAGTTTTACTTTTCTTTAAGAAAACAGTGATTTTTCAGAATACAGTTTCTAACAAAGAGATAAAATTGTTTGTTCTAGTTCTTTCTTTTTACTTCTATCTGCCCTATTTTGTAGGCATATTTAGTTTGGTGACACTACAAACTCTGTTTATCTCAGTTAATATGTTTCCTTAATATTAGTTAGAAAAAATAATTGGAAATCACAGCTTGTGGATTTAATACACCAAATTCTCAAAAATTTAAATAAAGAAAAGCAGACGAATTGGTCTGAAGTACTGTTTTGGAGTTTTTAATATCTGATGTTAAAAAAAAATAGAAAGATGATGTTCAAGTATGCCATTGTGAATCACAGAAGGGTTGGGGAAATAAACTTTGGAGAAGCTAACTATATTTGTTGTACAACAAATAAGTCCAAAGAAAGAAAATAAACAAATAAACAAACAAATATAAACACACACACACACACACACACACACACACACACACACACATACACACACACAACCATTTGGAATCTAACATGGCTTTATCTGTTTGTAGTAAAAATTCATGTTGGGTGAGGAATTAGACAGGGATCTAAATAAATAATTCTTCTTTTTCAGAAGATTTCTTCTTTCAGATTTCTCATTCTGGTCCTATAAGAAAGCAAGACACCTTCTGTCTTAAGACTCAAAATATCAGACTGACCCTTAAACCAATGTTAAAGTAGAGATCGTTGTCTTATTAGCATGCTATTAATATGTGCATGAAATATAGTCTGTGTCTCAACCCAAATACACACATTGGGAAATCAAAGGGAAATCCTTCACACCTTTTGCTGGCTTCATCCTGAATTTTTTTTTCTCTCTGAACAACTTCCTTAAAAGAATTTCCTCTTCTAAAGGACAGTTCTCCATATTTAACAAACAAGTCCATCAATGAAGTCTCTTTACGACCATATGACTCATGAAGAAGCGCCTTTAATATTGTTTGTTTAATTAAAGTTCATGCCCAGAGAAAAATAACTGAAACAACATTTAACATTCCAGACTTGTTTCAAAAAATAACTAGAGTACATCATTTTAAAAATAAAATTTCACTTTACGAAATAATGTTTTGCTCCAATAAAAGGATACACTTCAATTACTTGTTGTAGAAATCTAAATGAATATGCAAGAATCAGGCTGCCCAATATCAAAGGCCCACAGTCTTTGAACTTCAAAGAAAATTTGTTTTGTCAATTTATGCCAATATGCTTGTGTTTTAAATTTTTCTTTGTACTCTAATGGTTCACCTTTTCTTTCTGTTAATAGTCCCTATGTAAGCTGACTCATGAGGATTCAGTGTATAGCTTTAATTAAATTGTGTTTTTAAGAAAGAAGATTTTGCAAGTATTGTGTAGCAAACTAACAATAAACATCGAACCCACAATATAGAAATAAAAAATGCACCATTGTGTTTGAGGCAACTGCTATTAGAAAGAAAGGAGAAAGGAGAGTTTTCAGTTATGAACTACAGGCAGTCCTTGACTTTCGACCACAATTGAGCCCAAAATTTATGTTGGTAGGCGAGACATTTTTTAAGTGAATTTTGCCCCATTTTATGATGTTTCTTGCCACAGTTGTTAAGTGAATCACTGCAGTTGTTATGTTAGTAACACGGTTCTTAAGTGAACCTGGTTTACCCATTGACTTTGCTTGTCAGAAGATTGCAAAAGGTAATCACATGATCCCATAAATATGAGTCAGTTCCCAAGCATCTGAATTTTGATCACGTGATCATGGGGATGCTACAACAATCATAAGTGTGAAAAACAGTCATAAGTCACTTTTTTTCAGTGCCGCAGAACTTTGAATGGTCACTAAGCAAACTGTTGTAAGTTGAGGACTACTTGTATTATGCAATTGCTTGCTATGTAGCCTTGCTCAGTTTTACTCCCTCCCCCCATGTAGGAAGGACTGCAAAACTTGTAACCAAATCAGCTTCCTCATTAGCGTCAAAAGCTTTCCTTTTTACCTGTATGTAGGATTGCTATCCTGCCCTTCAAGACTTCTGACACTCCACTATTCCACACATAGTGAAACTGAATGCATAGCCTTCACAAATAGATGGCTCACCTTAATTTGCAGAATGTGAATGTAGCTTCACATTTGGGGAAGCTATAAACTTATTTATGTAGAATTGTGGACAACAGAAAACATTTTAAAGCCCATATACAGTGGTGGGTTGCTACCGGTTTGCCCCGGATTGGGTGAACCGGTAATGGTGGCGGCGGGAGGCTCCGCCCACCCACTCGGACACACGAGCGAACCGGTAGCAAACTAAATTGAAACCCACTACTGCCCATATACCTCAGATAACGTCAATCATTTGTAACTAAGTTTAACTGATATGAATGGAATATATTTTGGGCATTGGTGGGTTGCCCCCAGTTCGGACTGGTTATATAGAACTGGTAGTAAAACCAGCGGGAAGCTCCGCCCACCGACCCCAACGTCATCAGGAAGCTTCTGCACATGTGAATCGGTAGTAAAGGTAAGTAGAACCCATCCCTGATTTTGGGGGAATAATTACTGAAATGCTTAAAATAAACCTACCACTTCTTTTACGCTGTGCTAAAGCATAGGGTGAGAGTCAGTTTGGTATATGGTGGTTAAGGCACCAGGCTAGAAAATGAGAGACTGTGAATTCTACCCCAACATAGGCACAAAGCCAGTGAGGGACTTTAAGCCAGTCACTTTCTCTCAGTCCTAGGATGGGAGCAACGGCAAACCACTTCTGAAAAACCTTGTCTAGGAAACTGTAGAACCTTATCCAAGCAGTCTCTGAGAATTGGACATGATTGAAAAAAAGAAAAAACAAAGGTGTAGGATTGTAAATCTCCTACTGGTCCATTGCTGTCCTTGAGGTTAACTTCAAAGGTGAAAGAAATTTAGCTCTAGATTGCAGCTCTGGAATATTAACCCAGCTGAGATTTGTGTGGCTATGTCAACATTGTCTTTGCAACAGAAATCAAAAGAGATAGATAGATAGATAATTATGCTTCTCCACTTTTAACTTTGCTTGACTATTGCTTATTTTAATTCTTTTATAATGCTGAACATTTCATTATTACAATCCTAGTTTAAATGGTCAACAATATGGAAGAGCAGGATAGAAGTATTGTTAATAATAACTGTGATAAGTATAGTTCTTCCCTGTCGGTTCATCACATAAAATTATCTGGATCCACACATTACACAAAGACTTAATCCTGGTTCCTTTAAGTATGTTTTACTGAATAATCCCCAGGTGATTAGGTTTGTGCCTCTTAAATCAAAACCAGGCAAATCGCATTACAGCACTGGATCCCATCTGTCATGCTTTGTCGTATGTCCATTTCTGTGTCTTCACAATTTAAGATTTTAAAGTAGGTTTTCATACAACCCCACAAAGTTGTATGTCTGTTTGGGTGCACATATATGTAATTTATACTAAATTCAGATTTGGACAGATTTTGAAGGATTGAAACTACCTTTCCAGAAAAGAGATGGATCTGTTTATGGAATTATTTTAAAATGATGAAGAACAGATGTCAGCTACTCAACAGGAAAGGTTCCACAGTACGTGTGTTAGAAGCTGAAAAATGGGTTAAATATGCCACTAGGAAATACATAGGACTCTCATTCTTTGAGAATGGAATTCTGTTAGAAAGCTTATTAAATCTGCTGTCAGAAGCTATGTAAACTAAGAAAGCAAAATACTTCATAGTAGTATCTATACTGCTTTTTAAAAAAAATTATCTGTTTGTCTTGTTGGAAGGAGAGGATATCTGTTGTCACAATAAAGCTGAGCTAGGTTGACCTGAAATGATAAGGAAATGCAACTGTTCTTTATATTTGAATTTCAGTAATTTTATTGGTACTATAAAGGTTTAAAGGGTGAAGATAGCTAAAACAATCAAGCAGTAGTAAAAGGCTGTCATGTTCCCTATAAGGGTTTACTTTATGCTTTATAATCTGCTGTATTCTTAACAGTGACCTATCTCAAAAGGAACTATCTTTAATAAGATAATAGGTGTTTTCTTTTTAATGCCACTAAATCAATGCCTAAATTTAAAGGCCACTTTAGTTATTTAAAAAATAATAATTAGCACGATTTGTAGAATTCTCAATTAAAAAATAAGGAAGGTTATGAAATGATAAACTGAACCAAATGCTTATTTTAATAAATAGAAAGACTTGAAATAGCCAATTGCAGAATCTGAATTAAGAAGTGTCTAGTTTTGATAGTGTTTGCGCTACTTTGATAAACGGAAGTTTCATATGAAATTAAGATGATAGTTGTTCATGTTTTTGTAACATACATATGAAATGAAATATGTGAAACATAATATAAATATGAAGTGTATTGCTTTTATATGTATCATCCCCATGAACATTTTGCAGCCTAGGGTGTTTACTGGAATAGAGTATGGGAGGTTGTTCCTTTATTGTGGTTAGAAAGGTGCTGCCGCCATGTGAATAGTAGCTTGAAAACATGATAGATTGCAAATGAAATGTCAAAAAGATATGGTTGGAGGTGAGTCTGATTTGTTCCCGCCCATCACTGTAACTGACAATGGACTGGTTAGACCAGACATCAGTCTCAACCCAGTTGAGACTGGGTTCACTTTAAAGCAAAACATGGTTTCCTGTTACTGTATATCCATGTGTCTTGATGAATCTCAGATTCACATGGACCTCTCCTCAGTTCTTCTGGAAGTTTCAAAATATTGGTTTTTAATTTGAATTAATCAGTTTTTTTCTGGTGACTGAAACGGGGGTCTGCAATTTGTTTATCCTAAACTTAGACATATTTTTTTAAAAGTAGAAGAAAGTAGGATTGCACATTTCAAATTAATCCACCCTGCTATCATCACCTCAACAGCCTTCATGACACTCAGAGCTGGAAAAATGGGACAGAAGTTCTTGCCTGTAGCTGGATGCCTGTTTATTTGATGAAATCATAGTTTGAACCTGGTTTGTTCTTCATAATCATAATTAAAGTAAATTAAAATTCCTTCAGGTATTACAATATACTGGCAAACTTAAAAATCCAAACAATCTGTTAGCAGCAGCAAGGAAACTAATTTTTCTATACAACTCTAATTTCCAGACAGTAGCTTGTAGTCTGAATTATGAGAACTGTGTCATACCACCATTTCGGAACTTGGATTAGCCTTTGAAAGAAAAGAGGATTCTCTAAAACAAATAATTGGTTTATTTTAAAATATTGTATTAAAGAATTCGCCATTGAATGCCAGATAAATAAAATAAGAAAAAGGAACTGCTACAACTTAGATGATATTTTCTTTAAAGACTAGATAGAAATTAATTAATTAATTTTTGGCCAGACGATAGTTTGTGACTTCTGAAGACTTGAAAGGAGATTGAACAAGACTACAAACAAATTTATAAGCCTATCAGCCAGAATACAAATTGCTGAGTGAATGAAAGAGGATGCTTCCTAAGGCTGTGTTTGCGAGTTTTCGGTCAAAGCTGGGAGTGCGGCGGGAGGGGTGGGGAGGAGCACCAGGCGGTCTTAAGAATGCCTGCTGAGTTCTAATTGGTGCCCACTGTGGTTAATGGCTTCCTGTGGCTGAATGTTTACTTGTCATTTATTTTGAGCCTTGTTTCCCAGCTATTTGGAGAGAAATTAACCATTTTTTAAAATCTTCTTTGATAAAAGTGTACCCTTCGTCGTAAACTTCCTTTCTGCAAGCTGTCTCATGATACGAAGTACATGGAGTCCCTGTCACAGTCAAACAGCTACTGGGTAAGACGCCCTTCTCCATTTACTTTTGTGGTTGTCACTGAAGTGTTTTAGAAAATGTCAAATGTGTACCCTAGGACAAAAGAGTTGACTTTTTCCTCCAGGACAGTCAAATGGTTGTTTAAGGAGTCAGCTTTGAAGAGTCTTGGCCCTCTTCCATTTCTCCTTTACTCTCTAACAGTTCATTCTGTCCATATCACTAGCAGCCATATGAGGTAAAAGCACCTTGTCAATCTATCTTGAAGACTTGGTTATCCATTCCAAAACCAACTTCTAAACCTTCTTCTAGAAGCTCTAATTTGAAAAGCAGTTCAATGTAGATTGACAAGCCTTGGGCATTAAAACCAATTGTTTACTCAGCTAATAATCATACTACCAGTATAAGTTTCCAATGATTACAATTTTCCTATTCTTCTCATTAGAAATGCATGGCCTAAAGGGTTCCCATGTACACCAGCCTTAATCTCCCTGCCATATTCTGAGCATGTCATCCTCTTCCTCCACATTGTTAGTTAACAATTAGTAAGGTAGGCACTTATGTAATCACAAAGAAGTAATTATAAGATGCTATAATTTTACCCTGTATTAGTACTATAAAAATTAATCTTTAAATTATAATACAAACAACTATGGAATTAACAGAAGAAATAAACAAGTCTCTGGGTTTTATGCTGATCTTCTTAGTGGTCTGTCTGTATGGAAATGTGTTGTATTCTGAATTACAAATAGATCCTAAGTAGTCACTCACAGCACTTTGTGAAAATGCATTTTATCTTCAGGACCTGTCTCATAATCTGCATAACTTTAAGATCTTTTTCAAATGCAGATCTTACCTTTAGAATAGAAAAACACTCATAACCATGAAGAACATATTTCAGTCTGGGTACTGATAGGATATAGTTGTATGATAGTATTATTTTTTCCGTAAAGTGAACTAACAACAACGGGCAAAGTTTATTTATAGATAAAAAGGTAAAAGTAAAGGTTCCCCTTGCACATATGTGCTAGTCGTTCCCAACTCTAGGGGGCGGTGTTCATCTCCGTTTAAAAGTCGAAGAGCCAGTGCTGTCCAAAGACATCTCCGTGGTCATGTGGCCGGCATGACTAAATGCCAAAGGCGCACAGAATGCTGTTACCTTCCCACCAAAGGTGGTCCCTATTTTTCTACTTGCATTTTTTATGTGCTTTCGAACTGCTAGGTTGGCAGAAGCTGGGAGAAGTAGCAGGAACTCACCCCGTTATGTGGCACTAAGGATTCAAACTGCTGAACTGCCAACCTTTCAGTCGACAAGCTCAGCATCTTATTTTATTTATTTTTTTCATTTATTCAGTCATTGTTGGCATCTGGCATTTTGGATACTTCTTGAAAAGTTTACATCCATGAAGACTGATTACTGCTTTTATTTAGCAAGTCCTGGGTTATGTACTTATAGGAAAAAACAGTTAATTCTACTAGAACATTTCTCTCTTAAACTTTCTGTGGCCTTGGACTGCTAAATCAACACTCAAAAACAAGAAGGACCACCCAGTTAAACCAATTCTCTCTTTTTGTGTCTATGCTAGTTCACATTTTTAGAGAATAAATATTACTTCACTTTTTTGAGAATAAAATAATGATTTTGGCTGCATTTCTGTATGTCTTCCCACCCTCCTATTTTTTAAAGTATCTTTGAGAACTACATTTTCTATAAAAACATTTAATCCAAAAAAGTATTTATCACTTGAATTATTTTATATATCCCATGCCATCATAACAATTCATAGCACACATTTTCTGGTCAAGAGTGTTCTTCAAAAGAAATTCCTTGAGTTTCAGGCCCCAACACAATGGTGATAGCCAACACAATAAAATCCCATTTTTAGGAACTCATCGTGTTTCATATTCACTTTTCTTTTTGAAATGTTGCTGTAAGATCACAGTACTATTCGGGGTGGGGGGTGGGTAGATCTGTTTACCATCAGTCCTCTGAATGTTAGCACTCACCTTACTATTTGTATTATCACTTGTATTCTTCAGTGAACCAGTTCTCAGCTGCTAATCCATGCTTGCAAACTAGCTGACTATCAGGGAGGTGAGGGAAAGAGGTGACAAGGGGACTTAAATAGGAGAGGCTTCAATAGACCACTGGTGGTGGTCCATATAGATCAGGTCTGAGAATCATTGAACAATATATAGTTAGTTGGATTGATTTTATTTGGCAATAAATATATTCTACTAATGCAGTTCTAATATGATTGCAGTTGTTTTATGGCAGGATCTTTTGGAAAAACCAGATATATTATGGGTTAGGCGTTCAATATTACTTTTGAAAAACTATGTAGTTTCTGCAGAAATCACAATGACTATATGCTCTTGTCTCAAGATAGTACTCCAACAACTCCAGAACCTCCATTTCCACTTGGCGTGCATTGCCTCATTTATAAAGACATTGGTGCTTGATAGAGTAAATCTTATATTTCATGTGGATGCTCCTTAACTAATCACACATTTTAAAGGAATGTTTTTCTTCCATTCCTTTGTTTAAGGTTACTGGATTGCAGAATGAACTAACTAAACTTGGAATCATAAAGAACCAGCAAGATTATGAAAACTTTTGGAAAGTTGCTTGGGAGGATGTTCCTGGCTCAAAGATCAAGGAGAAGCTTCCTGATATAAAAGCAAGAAGCTGAGTATCTTCATTATTTCTGGAGATTGAAATAAAATTCATCCGTACAGGAAAAGCAGACACCTATTTTATTTATTCTTTTACTGACCAATATTTTAAATAAGGAAATTGCTCCCTAGAGGATCTTGTGAACGTTTACAATTGTTAAAAGGCAAGATTAAAGCCAAATTAAATAAATAATTAATTTGAAATGCACATATTCTCACCGGCAAAGTGGCACCTAGGAGATGAGAAATATGGGATGGATTATAGATACTAGCAATTTCATTTGTCCAAATCATGCCAGGTGGGATATTACATGAGCTCCATACATATATACAGGTCTTGTGCTTCTCCAAAAATGTTTTCTCTCTTTTACTTGGAAAAACACCACACCTAGTTTTCTTCTATGAAAAAAAAAAAGACTGGCATGCCAGACAGTTTAAAGTGAGAAAGAGGTAGGTTGTCCCAGTTATTGATTTTTCCATCAGTGACTCCAATATAGGCTTTCTGCTGCTTCTGCTAATATATTTTCACATGCACTTATTTTTTACTATTTTTGTTTATTCGGTTTATTTAGGGTGAAGACAGTACTGTTTTCCCCATTCTGAAGTCATTTTTCTTACTCCTTTGAATGTCTCCAAGGAATGACTTGTCACCATCATTAACATTTCCTTGAATGCTACTAATTTGAGATATATAAAATTTGGGTTCCATTTCTTCTTTTAGCTATGTTGTAAGAGGTTGTAGCTATCACAGAACAACTGGGAAGGAGTGGAAAATGGGAAGGAGATGACCCAATGTCCCTCACAATTTTTCCAGCATGCTAGTTACTAATTTTCTTCATAAATGCAGATTTAGCTATTTTCTGGAAGTCTGCTAAAGTTCTATCCGAAATAGTCCATCTAGCAACAAATCAGGGTGAAGGGGGCATGGGATAAAGTGGGAGGCTGATCAAGAGCTCTGGTAACTTGTTATTCAGATAACCTAAAGGTGCTTAATTCTCTTTATTACAAACAACCATAACTAAAAAATTACCAATCTCCTTACTGAGGCAGAAGAGGGGGGGGGGGGGGGGGGGGGGGGGGGCAACACAAATTATGTGGCATACATTTTTTTTCCAAGTCAATAACAGGAGGAACAGTCAGTTCCTCTAGGTAGAACAAACCAAGAACTCTAACTCTCCATAATGCTAAAACTACTTTTATTGAGATTGGGTATAATAGCAAAATCTTGTAAGTCTGATTGTTTGTTTTCCTCCTCTTTATAGTTCAGTGAAGTAGGAAAGTGTCAGTTAGAGCCACTTCGAAACATTATTTTGATGTTCTGGATTTAAAAACAAATATTTTACTCCTTGTTGCTTTCTTGTTTATTTTCATCAAGGCTATCTTCCTTACTCTATACACAGACATGAGGAAAGCCCTGAAATATGTTCATTTCACTCATCTTTGTCAGAATTTTCTCAAAAATTTCCCTCCCTAGATGCATTTACTTTATATATTTTTTATTTGATTGATTGATTGAATCTTATGGTCACCTGTCTCACAATTGCAACTCTGTGCACCTAACAGCACATAAAAACAAACAAGCAGAGAAACAGTAATAAAGAGTTAAAAAACTTACACTGGTAGCAAGAGAAAACCCGAAGACAACAATCAACAAAATCCTTCCGTGAACCACCTAGCCTTCTAAGCCCCAAGTCCTGGAACACATTTAGGTCTTCAACACTTCACAAAAAGCCAGCAGATTGAGGCTAATCTAATCTCGGGTTTTCCAGAAAGCAGGTGGTGTGACAGAAAATGCATGCATCCTAGGTCCCATTGGAAAAAACAGTTAGTGAAATTTGTAATAAAACTGCTGTTATTAGAGGAAATGTTCAGCTGCTAATTTTGTTTCAGATGATGAAAATAAATTTAGTTATGCTATTTACATCAGAGCTTCAATATTTACTTTCTGTTTTCAATCTCTAGTGTCCGCTGCTAAATCTTTACTTTTCTCTACTCCAACTGGAATCAAGCCACTCCAGCAAGTTAAAAGCTTTCCAAATAGCAGGCTGAAAAAAGTAAGCACATTTTAAAAACCTTTTAAAAACCTTTTTATTTTTAAATGCTCTGCTTTAATTTAGGAAAATTGTACTTTTCAGTAACAAAACAGTTGTGAAATTGTTTTTCGATTACTTAATTCAGTTTCATACAATGAGCAGCTTTCTTTAATCTGGTCCCTTCTAATATACTATTAGGTCCTTGCTTAGAGAAAGCTGCAATAAAGGGGTGAATGAAGATTGCTATTACAAAATGTTTCTTGTGAAAAAGATCCAGTGAGTAATTTGCTCTTGACTTAGTACTCCATATTTATGTATCTCTGAAATGCCACCAATTGCAACTAATTTGCAGTAGAGAGATGGTATCATCTAAAGCCAGTTTTGTATAGGGATTTTTCAAAGTATATGGTTTTTGAAATAACTTCTGCTGAAAGATATATGGTTATGTTTCTGAGTAAGAAATGGTGAAAAGGAATAATATACACTGTTCAGTTTTATTTAATTTTGTTAGCACAAGCAGGCCCCTCCCAATATAAAGTTTTAATTAACATTACAAACAGCTCAAATGGAGAAATGCAGTAAACAAACAGTCGGGCAGGTTTCTTTAAACCTGATCTGGTTTCTGTAGGCAAATTAAGAATATAGTGGACATTCACATTTGGGCTTTGTACATGTTGCAAGGACAAGGTCACAATAGCAGTAATTGGTGTAGAAGTTTAAGAGCCCAATAAATAAATATAGATATAGGTTATATTTTCATTATTAAATAGGCTATATTTATCTCTTGCCCAACTCTAATACCAACTGCTTAATTTTTATGAAGGGATTATTCAAATTCATTTTTCATTTTAGGAAGCCAGTCATGATAATACAAAGCTTGAGGACCACTGTACTAAGGTATTGCATTTTTTTTAAAAAAAATAAAATTAAATTGATTCTGGAATGTAAGATGAGGCTTTTGTCTTCAGTATGTGCATTTGTTTCAACTAGTAAAATTTGGTTTGTGTAGGTAAAGGATTTGTTTTGTTCATTTTAGACCACATTATACAAAGTAAAACAAATCTATATCTCACCTAAGGATCCCACCAATTTGTCCTGAATTATTTTCTGACATCACAGCAAATTCAGGATTGGCTGGTATTTATACCCAAAAATGACAATGAGCCCTTTTCCAAAAAGTTGATCTGTGAATCTATTTAGCATTACATCTATACTAAGTGTAGAGTGAAATTATGTTGAGGGAAACTGAATAGAAAAAAGACAATAATACACTTGTATAAATTTGATTTATGTGCAAAAAAAATTATGAGCAATCACAATTAGTAGGTTACAATGAAAAAGGACAAACCACCATGATTAATGTGTTTACAAATAACTGGAAAAATAAAAAGCGATCTCAAAAAAAATGAGGGACTGTGAAAAATATGACAGACCCTGAAATGGTTACTTAGATACGTACATAAACTGTTACTGAATATGACAGAGAGTTAATATATTAAAACTGTATCATAAAATGGATACAAAATTTGAGAGAAGTAATTTACAATGAGCCAATGGGAACAGCTATGGGGAAAAAATATTTAAATTTATTCCAAGCTACAATTTAAAAGTAGTTGGAAGTTGGGCAACATATACATTTTAATTACAGTAACAATAATTATTAATAAATTAATAACAGAACCACTCAAGATCACTCTATAAGTGAGATGGGCTTATAGAGTTTTTACATTTGATAGATATATCAATAGCATACACCAATAAATGTATAAATAATAATAATATAGCATCAAACATTAACATTGCCTATCCCAGGTTCTTGGAAGGGCTTGATTAGGTGGACAAAAATGCCAAATTCAGTCTGAACATCTAGCTGACTGTGCGACGAACCATAATGCAGATATAAAATATTCTATAAGATGGTATATAACTCAATCTACAGTTGCCATAATAGATAAAGCACATAACAACAAGCATTGGAAATGCCGTAACAACAAAAGAACATGCTACCACATGTAGTGGTCATACAAAAAACCCTCAAAAGAGGGGACTTCTGGTTGGTGCCGCGGGGATCCAGACAGGGAAATAGCGGGCTCTTTGGAGCCCCGCGAAAACCCCGTCTGCTAAGCCCCCGCCAGCAGGTCTTTGGATCTCCCCTGTCCTGTAGGGACAGGGGGCATGGAGAGGGACCCCTCGGTCAGCCGAGAGGAATGGGCAGGTTCCTCGGGGCCGGAGGCTTGCCCTCTGCACTGGCGGCAGCAAAGCGGCAGCCATGGCGGCTGCCCTGACATAAGAATGCGCAGGAGGAGAGGAGGAGAAGCGGAGAACAGAGCCGGGAGTTTATTTGCCGGGTGAGTGACCATCAGCCCAGGCGGGAACTGCCCATGGACTCTGGATTAAGAGGAGTCTTTGCCCCAGCCTTAACAGCGGTTGTGAACTATTGGGCCATAAAGGCAAAAGACCTGTTGGAGAACAAAGTGAAATAATGATTTTTTGGAAATGGCTGCATTACAGTGTTGGATATGGTTTTTTTTTTCTTTGTATGGAAAAATGAGATTGGACTATGTTAGAGAGAGAGGAAGGAGAAAAGGAAATAACTATGCTTTTAAAAATAAAGAAAAGAAAGAAGACAAACGGAGGCAGAGAAATGGCTGCTAATTGGCAAGTGAAAGTGTGAACTTCAGTCTGACTGCTTGTTACTGATTTACAGACTGCCTACTTGTTACATAAAGGGAGAAACTTTGTTACTTGTTTCTTTAAACTTGACTAATTTGGGGGAAAAAAGAAAAAAGAGAAAGACTCAGATTAAGAGAGCCTGATTCTGGATAGACAAATTTGTTTATTGGAGGATTTATTGAGGATCAGAAGGAAGAAATTAAATGGAACAAAGGAAATTGAACTAACAGACTTGGCAATAAGAGAAGGGTGTGGCAGCACAAGAAGGACATGATGATACCATATATGGAATAGCCCAGAACTAATTAAAAAAAAATAAAAGTTGGAACTTTGATGGTATTAAAATGGAGAAGAAATATATTTGGACAGATTGGAGAAAGGAATATTGGAACATATTATGTAATAAGACAACAAATTATTATATTTTGATTTAAATAGAAATAATAGTTTTTGGGTGAATGAACAGAGTTTTTCCTCTTATTATACCATCTCTATTTCCCTTTTTTATCTTTATTTGTTTTTGTTTTTCCTCTTTAAATTTCTTTTTTTAATCTACTTGATTTTCTTTCTTTCTTTTTTTCTTTGTTTTGATATACTTCTATCCTCTTCCCTTTTCTTATTTTTTTTTCACTATTATTATTGCTGTATTATGATTATTGTCACCATTTTAAGGTAATTACATTATTATTGTCACTATTTCCCATTTTCTATAATTATTATTACTTTTATATAAACATATAAATAACTTGATTAATAAATGTTTGAAGGAAGAAGCATGAGTTTTAGATGTTCTAATGCCTTTTTGAATTTTAAATCTTTAACAAGTAATATTTATAGATTTAATAATTTGGTAGAAAATGTTTTTTTCTTTAAGGTGTTGGATGTTAAAAGAATTATTCATACATTTAATAAGCATAGAAAAATGAATTTAAAATGTTTTAAAATGATGTTTGTATTGAAATATGAAATAAGCAAGTAACGGGAGAAAACTTAGGAGAAAATAAAAGATAAGATATTTGTTGATTTTTTTTTTTTTTAAATCAGCAAAAGATACGGAGGAGAATAGATTGAAAACACCATTGGTGATACACTTTGAAGTAATTTGAAGCTAAATAATTGAATAAGAGATCTTGGAGTGGAGGAAAATATAAAGCAAGATTCTGGTGATCAGTGAAAGAAAAGCTGAGACCCAGTCTTACAAATAGGGTAGGAGTGGAGGAAAGCATCATACTGGAGAACAGTCAATGCAAACTGGGAACCAGTTAAAAATAAAAATAGGAGTTAGGAGCGGAGGAAATATGCGCTGGAAAGCAGTTAAAGCAAAGCTGTGAACCGGCCAAAATACAGTTAGGAGTGGAGGAAAGCATACGCTGGCTAACAGTTAAAGCAAAACTGTAAACTAGCAAAAATAAAAAGGTAGGCGTGGAGGAGACTATACCTGGGGATCAATTGAAATAAAGTTGTGAACCAGTTAAAAATAAGGGTAGGAGTGGAGGAAAGCATTGCTGGAAGGCAACCATCTGAGTTGTGAACCGGTTTTACATTAGATTTAGGAGAAGTAAAGGAGAAGGTTGGTATGCAGTTAAAATTATACTGTGAACCAGCCAAAATAATTAAGGTAAGGAGTGGAGGAAGTGTTGCTGGAAAGCAGCTGATTAAAATGCGAACCAGCTCAAAAATAAACCTAGGAGGAAGTGGAAGAGACATTATTGGAGAATAGTAATTGAACTGTGAACCAGTAAATAAATGGAGAAAGGAATACTGGAAATTATAACTGGGAAATAGATATTTAAACCATGAATCAGTTAAACAGCTGGTCTAATAGAATTTGAGAATAAATTTGAAGTATTAAGGTAAAATATTTTGGAAGTAATAAAATATAGAAAGAAATGTTGATTTATTTCAAAATGATTTTAAGAGAGGAGGAAAATATTTTTTGTCAAGAATTGGATATCTGTTGTCATTTAAGAGAGATAAAATATAGTTTTGAGGCAATGGGTTTTAGGATTGAGGAATATATATGAAATATTAATTGTTAAAATGTTAAGGATTTAGAACAGTGTTTATTGTTTAGAATTTTGGGTGTTATAGTAGAATGATAAATGTTTAGAATAAGAATTTTTTATTATTATTATTATTATTTTTTCTTCATAAAGAATTTAAAATTTGGAACAAAATTGATTGAGGGAATGTGAATAATTGTACTTATTTTAAGCCGGACCAAACCCCTGCTCTAAAAAGATGTATTTTATGTTTTATGCTAAAAAAATAAAAAAAAATTGGGAAAAAAACCCCCTCAAAAGTGTTAGAAAGAAGTGAATCAAAATAATCGATTTTTTAAAAATGAAACTTGAACTGAAACCACAGATATTTCTGCTAGGCATAATTCCAGAAAAACTAAGTAAAAAATACTAGTTTACTATAATACCTGTTGGTCATAGCAAGAAGAAACTTAGCACAATATTGGAAAAATATATCTTGCCTACAAGATACTAAAATTGCAGAATATATCCATAATGGAAATTTAAAGAAATTCAGGCAAAAATGGCTCCCATGCATATACTGTATCACAGAGCAAAGCAAATTTAAATATCTAGAATACTATTTTTAAAACTTAAATAGAAATCACTAATATTTGATGTAAAGTTCAAATGTAACTATGACTAATAGTGGGGGTACCGATGGAAGGAAAGGGAGATATAATGTATGGTTTATAATATTGCTATATATTTTCATTTTTTACAATTTAAATTAAAATCTTACCTTAAATAGATAAGATTTTTTTTCTTATCATCTTGCCTTTTTTCTTCTTTTTTCTACCTCCTTCACATTGCAATTTCACATTGAAATACTCATTGTATTTCAACACTTTAATAATCTAATAACACTTTAATAATAATAAAAGAAGAAAGGATTGAATCATCTGTTTCATTCCTGGTACGGTAGTTTTGGAGAATTGCCATAGGTTTTAGGCCACATAGTAAGGTCAAGGTAAGATTTGAGAAAGTTACCCTTGGCCTTTGATCAGGGCAAAAGAAGGGTATGAACCAGAGAATGATTAGAAACCTTCATTCTGCATGCACTTGCTCAATTTGAGTGGTCTTAAGCCTGTTATGAAAGAGTTTTATGGCTGAATTGAAAAAAAAAATCATTGATGCTATGTGCATGATTTGGGGAGCATAGTTATAGAGCCTTAAGATGTCATCCCCCCTAGACCTGGTGTT